CTCTGGGGCCTCTTTGACTTTCTTAAGGAGGTCACTATAGATAGGGTCCTGTGCATAGGCCTCTCTAACCTCTTGCTGCAGGTCTTTCCCTATATCGAGGTAATGCACTATCGCCCCGAAGTAATCTGCCCTCCTACTCAGAGCATCCGCAACTACGTTGTACTTCCCCTTGACAGGCTTGAGCTCGAAGTCGTACTGATCTATCTCGGCGGCCCACCTAGTAAGCTTAGGTGTCATCTTGGCTTGCGTCTTTAACCATCGTAACGTTTCATGGTCAGAATACACTTTGAAGTGCCTCCCAAGCAAGTAGTGCTTCCAGTGGTCTAACGCTTGCCTGAGAGCGTAGAGTTCCCTCTCATAGGTAGATGTTGCGACCTTCTCTGAAGGCATTCTGGCGGACATGAACTCTACGGGTCTATACCCATTGCCATCGTCTTGCTGCAACACTGCGCCTATGCCGTACTGGCTAGCATCCGTAGTAACGACAAAAGGCAAGGACGGATCGGCGACCTTAAGGACCGGGTACTCTATCAACGCCTGCTTTAGCTTCTTTATGGCAGACGTGCAATCCTTGTCCCACTTCCATATTGTCTCTTTTCTTAGCAATCTGCGAAGGGGCGCAGCGATGGTGGAGAAGTTCCTCACGAACTTCCTATAATAGTTAGCTAGGCCTAAAAACGACCGCAACTCTGTCAACGTATGCGGCGTTGGCCAATCTCTAATTGCTGCAATTTTACTGTTTTCAGGCTTAATGTCGTCTCCGTCTAAGACGTGGCCTAAATACAAAAGTTGGGTCTTCGCCCAATCGCACTTCTTTGCATTGATCTTGAAGTTAGCTTCCCTCAKCTTTTCCAAGACCTGCCTGAGATGACCCTGATGCTCGTCGAGGGTCTTACTAAACACTAGAATGTCATCTAGGTACACTATAACAAATCTATCTAACCATGGTCTGAACAAATCGTTCATACAGCGCTGGAACGTAGATGGCGCATTGGTTAGTCCAAAGGGCATCACTATGAACTCGTAGTGCCCATATCTAGTCCGGAAGGCTGTCTTATACTGATCATCAGGATGCACCTCTATTTGATGATATCCSRACTTCAAATCTATCTTAGAAAAATACTTCGCCCCCTGCACTCGATCTAAGAGATCGTCTATCCTAGGCAGTGGCTCAGCATTCTTTACTGTAATAGCATTCAGACCCCTATAGTCTATACACATCCTCAGCTCTCCCTCTTTCTTAGGGACAAAGAGAACAGGGGCTCCAAAAGGAGACGAACTGGGCCTAATCCAACCCTTTTCGAGAAACTCGTCCAATTGCTTCCGTAGCTCTTCCAACTCCCGCGGGGACGTCCTATATACAGCACCCTTAGGAGTTCTACTGCCAGGCTCTATCTCAATACGGTGCTGGATGGGCCGCGGCACCGTGCCTGTCGGCGGCTYAGTTAAATCCTTAAACTCTTCCAGCAATTTGGCAATAGCAGGGTCTACGGGCTTCTCTTTCTTAGGCTCAGTCACTGGCCTGACATAGGCAACAAAAACTTGTTCCTCTAGTTTCTCCTTTTTCACCAATCTGGTGAACGCGGGGGCACTAAGGCAACAGTGCGCCAAGGAATTCTCTACCCCTGACGCATGAAACAGGCGGGTAGTCTTTGCCTCGCCTGACGAACTAGGGAGCCTACACTCGTGCTCCTTCAAATGGAGCGCGGCCCCGGCTGCCTCACCCCAATCCATTCCCAGAACAATGTCGAATGGGAGACTGTCTTCTACGAGGAGAGTCAGGGAGTGGAGGATCTTTTCCATTTTCCCATCCTTCTCTAGGCGAAAATACGCCTGGACTCCCTCAACGTAATCCTCTACAACCATGGTACGATTGTCTGCGAGGATACTAACTATAGGGTCTGCTAGCTTTTGGACTTTAAGTCCCAGCTTCAACTTCTGCAGCGCCTTCCTACTAATATAGCTGCGGGTGGCCCCTGAGTCTACTAGGGCCCCTACTCTACTTCTAAAAATCTCTGTATCTAGCAATATAAGCTGCCCTTTATTCTCCTTCTTCATCTTGGCCCAGGCGGGCATCCTCTCTTTCAACTCTTTGGCCACGCCTGTGAGGGAGGTGTCTAGAGAGATCCTAACACAAGCGGTCTCTGGGTAGCTATCTAGACACCGGCCTGCAACCTCTGCCATAGGCACATGTGGTGTGGGAGTCTCCTGCCGGCTAGCGCTATGTTCCCCACATGGCCTAATGGTAGGGGCAGTTGCTACCCCTACCGGCGGCTGCCTTTTGGCCCTGGGGCAGCCGTTTGGGTCTCTCTATACTTAGGACAATATTTGATGATATGGCCCGGGTCACCGCAGAAAATGCA